TCCAAATCAGAATCAGAAAGAACTTTGGAAGAAACTTGGTTTGGACGGTTGGAAAAGTTTACATTACCGTCTTGCATAGCATCACCATCGTTTAAATTTTGCGTTGATGAATGTTGCCTTAGGCATTGTAGTACCTGCTTTCCCCAGGTCTTTTTTTTTAGTTTCGTTTCTAAAATTTGCCGATGATCGGTTGAAAATTGACTAAAACAAACTTGAGCCAAGTTAGTCTTCGCTGCTCCTAATATATCTGAATCATCATCAAATAAAACTTTCCATAACGCAAGTTGATGATTATCATTTTGGGAGTCAAATCTAGGTATTAAATCGTCACCTGTCATACTTAATTGCGCTGCTAATGACAAGATTAGCATATATTTCGGATTGTAACGATGTTTTTGAAGGATATTTTTAACGTTCTTGCTCAGTTGGTCGTCTGAGACGATCTCTCTTAAGGCAAATAATGCTGCAAAATATTCTTGATAGGTTTCATGGGAAAATTTAAAGTAATGTTGGCCATGATTGTAGACTGAAAGCAGCCCAGTATCATTCAAATCTTGAATCATCGCATCGGTCTTAAAAGATCGATAAAAATACGGACCAATAAACTTATAAGGTAAGTGAAATGCTTGTCGAAAAGCAAATACCAAGCATAGTTCGAAATAACTGGATGTCAAGGCATAAATGCGTTGTGGCCTTGGTAATACTGTAGTTTCATTAATGTTCATGTGCTTATAAAGAAAAAGCAGCAATTTTCTGCGGATAAATTGCTGAAGAAGTGTGGCTGTAGAAATAGCCTCCATCCTATCGTAGTCTTTATCCTTACTTGACAGAATAGATGGTATTAATATTTCACAGAATAGATAGCTTTCCAAAGGAATCCCTAGTAAGCTTTTTGATTTTCTATCGCTGATGGATTTTAAATATTTATTAATCTGTTCAATTACTTGATTGCAATTATGATTAAGCTTATTCTTAGGCACTGTAAGCGTTTTAAGAATGGCTTTTACGTACTCTTCAATATATTGTGCTCGCTGGGAGTCCGTATATTCTAGCAATTTATAAGAATTGATACGAACATTTTTAGTTAAAGATATTTTGTTGGCAGCATAACATCGAGAAGTTATAACAACTTGTACTTTATCAGAAATATCATTGATCCATTGATTGATTAGTTGGGCTTGATTTTCGTCTTTGATTTCGTCGAAACCATCGAGCAATAATGTAACATTAGAATTGGTTTTCATGTCTTGTGCTAGAGCAGATAATTCCCAACTTTTCCAATCGATATCTGTCGCTAGCTTGGTAAAGATACTATCAGGTGTAGGAGATGACGATAAATTCAGTTGTGGTAAATGGACATAAATCATCCATGTAATCGTAGATGGTTTCTGCTGAAACCATCGATATTTTATGTGTAAACATAACGAAGTTTTTCCACAGCCAGCCTTCGCTAATACGATTGAACGTGTTCGTTGATGATCGATAAGATTGTTTCCTAATGTTATCACTTCATCATTATCATTAAAGTAGTAAGAGGCAGGCTTTGGGAGGCTTATATAATGTGAACTTTGATCGGTAACAGTTGCATAGTTAAATTCAGTATCTGTACAAGAAACGCTAATAAACTTGACCCTGCACTTACAGATTGATCCAGTTCCTTGATCTATAAAAATAGCGGTTACGTTTTCATAAACGTAACCGCATTGGTTAAGCTGGCCAAGGTAGGTATCTAGTGTATTTCGTATAAGTATGAATTTGGTATCCTTTCCAATGTCGCTAGGGTTTTTGACAAAACGTATTATGTCCTCCCTATTAAACTGAGCCTCAAACCATTGGATTATCCGTTTTGGTGCATTCGTGTTGTTCAAAATTATAACTTGAGCGTTAGTGTTGGTTATCAAGTCCATGAAATTGTAAACTGGTACACCTTGAATGGCATTATTAGGTATATAAACATCATAAGGCAAGCCACTTTCCAGGTTGGATTGTGCATCTATTACTAGACTGTCTATGATATCACATAATGTATCGAAATCACCCATCTCTTTTCGCAAATTGCTTGTTTGGTCTTTCAGAACGGTTTCTAAAGGATAACGTTTCCCACTTAATACTACGTAGTGATCTAGAAATGGTGTGCACACAGACTCTATTTCATCTGCAGTCAGAGTTCCGATAATGATGTGCTGAGGCTTGAGCGACTGATTTTCTCGACCGTGAATATGATTAGATGATGTTGGCGCGCTATTTCCTTCTCCACTGTTACCGATACGAAAATCCCGAAGCGTTTTCATTAACGTATTTACATAATCGTCTTCAACAAGTAACACTAATAGCTTTCTATTACTAATTGCAGCTTGTAAAATGGGTTCAACAATTGGAAGGAAATCATTATCGGACCAATTTAAACAATCAATAACGATAAATCGGATTGATTCGCCAGCAAAAACCTTTGGTATACTAATTTTTAACGAGGGATGCATAGTCAGAAAAGCCCAATCGCCGTCATGAATGAACTTGTTTTGATAAAGCCGATTGATTGTTGCGTACACTCTTGGCCTTAATCCTTTACCAGTGATGATTGCCAGCGGATAACCTTTCCCAGCCTGAGTGAGGAATAAATCGTATAACGGAGGATTGTGAAAGTTTGTCCAGGAGATATTATAGCTTTCATACTCTTTCTTGAATTGCTGTGTATCACCTAGAAGATAAAATCGCTCCAAGTCTGCCATCTCTGCTTGAACTAAATTGCCAAATTTGTCTGCCTTTAACACAGATTCTTGCCGATCTCGAAACCAATTAAGAATTTTATCCATTAAAGCATGGTATAATTGCCTTGGTGCAAAATGAACATCCAATTGAATTTCTTCAAGGATTATTTGCAAAAGATTAGAAACGTCAGGTTGCATCTGTTTAATAATAAATTCATCGAGATATTGATTGATTTCCTGATCTAAAATGCCAGCAATCACAAGTTCTGGTGAATTTATTTTAGTAGAAATTTCTGTTTTATGTGACTTGAATAACTCTTTCGATTGATCATTCATTTTCCTTAGTAAGATGTTCTCCAAGGGTTCTTTCTTTAATGCTAGTTGGATTAGAGCTCCAGCCTTAATGGATATTGGATACTTTCCATTACACTCGATCATATTTGACTGTTTCAAATGTTTTTTACTCTTCTTTCCAGAATGGTACCTCTGTTAAGTATTGGCTTAACGCTGTTGCCGCATTTTCGATTTCTGTTTGTAATACACTTATCAGAAGCGGCTTATTGAAAGACTGACCATTCTGAACGATTTTCAACTCGATTATATCATCAGTAATATCCACTATGGTGCATTCGTATTTTTCCATTTCATTAGAATGATTATAGATTGCATTGATAAATTGTTGTCTGCTTTGCCCCGTCTTAAACTTGACTGTTTTAGGCTGCCTTGGTAGTTTCTTAAATCGGAAGTACTCATTTTCATCCGGAATCATACAATCTATCAAGAAATGATCCGATTCCGTAACATCCCGATTAGTAAAAAAGATGTAGTAACATGTTTTACGATTTCCTTGATTGTTTACAGCAAATTTTCCATTTCTTAATTTCATCCATGAATCAAAATATTTGGCTAAGCTAGCAGGCTGATCTTTTCCGGCGCAAAAATCTTTAGCAGAATAGGGATCGCCTACCGAAGCGTGCTTGGCCTGTAGGAATGTAATACTATCTCCACTATCGATGACTAAATCGTCAAACTTTTCAAATTCTGTTGCTTCGCTGCACAGATAAAATGGATAATTTCGCTGGCGAGCACGCCAAGCTGCCAAAGTGAGTAAACCTAACTGATACACAATTCCATGAAAATTTCTTTTCAAGCCGTCAACTTTAAGCTTGGAGAACTTCATTCGACGGGAATCCTGTTGGTTAGCACTAGATAGAACATCAATAGCATGAGCTCCCTGAAGGCAATCTTGATCACTGGTATTGTCGGCCATTATTCTTGATTTTCGTTCGGTGCATCAATTTTGCTTCCCATGCTAAGCTGTATAGAAATGGAATCACTTCCGCTATCGGCTTGAATGCTAATCTATACAATATGGTATGGACAAAGCAATTAGTTTTATAGACGTCATGACTAAAGTTCTAATACAACTTATAGTAGCTCCATGAATATCTTTTCTCAACCCGATGTTGATCAAACCATAGCTAAATCGACGCGTACATCTAGATTATGATGTCATTTGTAAATTTCCCCCCAAAAATACATTTGTTTATTTTATTTATTTTAAGAATGCCAGTGGGTGGTCCCCCATTGGTTACAACTATATAATTATTTTAATGCTATTTGTTTAATTTATTCCATAACCTCACATCAATGGAGAAAGGGAATATTAAAATAGATTGTAGGCGAAAATATATATTGCAAATGATCATCCACAAACTTGTTCTTTTTAGAAGTATGCCGACTTAAACTCATGGCATCATTTCTCCAGGATATGTAGAAAGTCTAAAAGAAA